TATATAAAATAAAAAAAACAAAAAAATTTACTATTCCGGGCCGGACCCGGGCCCGGACCCGGTTTTGGCCCGGGTTTCCGGGCCAACCCCGGGCCGGGCCCAGGCCGCGGGCTTTTTGGACAGCCCTACTATGGGGGATCCATTGTTGTCAACTGCCTCATTCAGAGTCTCAAACAAAACGGGATAAATACTTTGAATTTCTGTTTTATATATAAAATAAAAAAAACAAAAAAATTTACTATTCCGGGCCGGACCCGGGCCCGGACCCGGTTTTGGCCCGGGTTTCCGGGCCAACCCCGGGCCGGGCCCAGGCCGCGGGCTTTTTGGACAGCCCTACTATGGGGGATCCATTGTTGTCAACTGCCTCATTCAGAGTCTCAAACAAAACGGGATAAATACTTTGAATTTCTGTTTTAATATTTCTCAACCTATAAGCCATACATATAGGAGTTTTAATGGGTTTGATTCGAATTGGATCCTATAAGACTCATTTAGGAGTCATCAATAAATTTATCAGATTCATTTAAGGATTGAAACTTACTTTAAGATTGTATCTGAAGATTATATTTCTCATTATGCCTTTTTTTCCTTCTAATTTTAACAATATCAACATGTTAAATATGAAAATCTTAAGTATGACCTATTTAAAAAGAAAATAGTTGATTAAACTATAAATAAATAAACTGCCTCTACAGGTATTTAAATGTTTATCAAGTTCTTGAGTATCGATCTTCAATGATCTATACAAGCACAACACATACAATAGGATAATCTATACTATTTATAGGAGGATAGAGAAGTAGGTTTTGGAATTTTAACTTTATTTATTTATGGTTCAAACCCATTATACTCCTATGTGTTATACTTGTTATAGCTTAAAACTATGGTTAATTGTGTATAACCCCCGCACTTTGGCCCAATTGTTAGTAGACTGCCGCTATAGTAGGGGTGTCCAAAAAGCCCGCGGTTTGAGCCCAGCCCGGGTCCGAGGTCAGCCCGGAAACCCGGGCCAAACCCGGGTCCAGGCCCGAGCCCGGGTCGGTGCAAACTCGCCCGGTCCGGATCCGGGCCCGGCCGGGCGGCCCGGGCCCGGGCCCGGCCTGGGCAACAACGGTCACCCTGGGGTGACCGTTGTCGAAAAAACCGGGCCAGCCCGGCCCGGCCCGGCGCCAACGGTCACAATTTGTGACCGTTGGAGGAATTTGGCAACCCAGCCCGGCCCGGTCATTTTTGACCGTTTATGCCGTGCCGGGTCGGGTTGCATAGCCCGGCCCGGCCCGGTCCGGATCAGTCAAACTGTTATATTTGACAATTTGACCGATTTACCCTTAAAACGGTCAAAAAACGACTAGAATATGAGGGTTTTTTGGTCATTTGCCTAGCGGGCTGCCTCTATAAATAGAGAGACTATAAAGGGGGGGGGGGTCAATTCATTTTCTCACAACAAAACTCATCTACTTTTCTCTAATACTCTCTTATACAATCTTATACTCTCTTATACTATCGAATAATCTCTTATATTTTCTAATACTTCCATCAAATGGCTTCTGGATCTGATTATGAAGAGTAAAACCTATCTCCTACCGATCCAGAGATGAGTCCTCCTACAACAACTCCTCCTCCTACCGGTATAAATCCTGAATCTGGTGGCGATGAATCTACTACATAAAGAGCTCCTAAAAGGCCGAGATCCGATGTGTGGAATTTTTTTGAGAAGATAGACGTTACCAAGGATGAACATGATAGGATCATCTCCCAAAAGACAAAATGTGCGTTGTGCGGCCAGGTTTTCCAAGCTCATCATAAGAGCGGCACCAACTATCTCAAACATCATATAGTAAAACACAACAAAGGCCAGAATCTTCAAGGTGATATCCGACAGTTTATGATTTCTCAATCCTCCTCTTCTGGTACCCTCGGTAGTTGGAATTATGACGCTGTCCGAGCTAGAAAATGCGTAATCAGGTTTATTATTCTTAAAAACCTGCCTTTTAAATTAGTAGAAGATGATAAATTTGAAGATTTGTTTAGAGATGGTTTTTGTCCTGCATTTACAAAGTTTTCTCGTTAAACCTGTCAACGTGATATTTTAAAATATTATCAGGAGGAACAAGAAAAAATAATTTCTTATTTTAAAAATTTAAACTGTAAATTTTCTTTAACTTCTGATATTTGGACATCTAGAGTGCAAACTGGTTATTTATATAACACAGCACACTGGATTGATGAAAATTAGTAAATGTTTAAAAGAGTTGTTTCTTTTATTACAATTAAAGAGTCACACACTGGTATTAATATTACAAATTTAATAATTGAAGAACTTATGAAACTAGAAATTGATCAAAGAATATTTTCTCTTTCACTAGATAATGCAAGTAATAACAATATAGCTGTTGATTTTATAAAACAACTCTGTCATTATCATGTCATGGTGACCTTTTCATGTTAGATGTATCTGCCATATTTTAAATTTAATTGTTCAAAGTGCATTTTCTGAAATTAAACCTATTTTAAATTTAATTGTTCAAAGTGCATTTTCTGAAATTAAACCCATGATAGAAAAAGTTAGAACAGTTGCTAATATGCATAATGCTTCTGAAATGAGAATTAAAAGATGGAAACAATGTTGTAAAAGAAAAAAATTATAGGCCTAGACTAATTCCAAAAGATGTTGATCATAGGTGGAATCCCACATATGCAATGTTAAGTATAGCAATAGAATATAAAGAAATTATAAATGATTTTATAAATTTTTATGCTTCTAGTTCTAGCTCTGGTGGCACTTATGGAATAATTAAAGATGAATGGACAATTATATGTAAATTAAATGAGATGTTACAAGTTTTTTATGATGCTACTATGTTATTATCTGGTTATTATTATCCAACTATTACTTTAGCTGCTTTACAAATTTTAAATATTCAAAATTTTTTTGCCAAATATCGTATTGATGATATTTTTGGAAATATAATTTTTCAAATGGAGAGCAAGTTTAATAAATATTTTAGGCCTATTCCTCATATTTTTGGTTTGGGGGTTCTTATTGATCCATGTTTGAAGGATATTGGTCTTTAAAGTTTTGTTACAGTCATTGTATGGTGGACAGATTATAGACTTAGATGATGGTTCCACCCTTACTGCTACTTCTCATCATTTATCTATTAGAAATTATTTTTAAACATTATATGATGAGTATGCAGATAGACATGGTGTAGCTGCACAACAGTCTACAGCTTCAGCGCCTTCGGCTTTGAGCACAGGTCGAGGTAAAAGTGTAAGTTTTGATAGGTATGCAATGGTAGCTGAACTAACTGGTGGATCTGAAATTGGTTTAGGATTAGAGGTTTCTGAATTAGATGAATATTTTTCTGCTTCCTTAGTTAAATGTTAAGGAAATACTTTAGATATTTTGAAATGGTGGAGAGCATATGGATCAGTTTCATATCTTATACTTTCCACCATGGTTCATGACTTACTATCAGTGCAGGTTTCGACGGTAGCTTCAGAATCCGCCTTCAGCACAGCAGGACGTTTGATCGACGACCACAAGACATGCTTAGATCCGTATACTGTACAAGCAGTGATGTGCTTACAAGATTAGTGGAGGTACGATAAGCGAACACAAGGTATCGATCGGATTGCTATAATTGAAGATAAATTTAAAGAGTTAGGACTACACTGCTAAAATTTGAGGCATCCTAGACGGAAAAATCCGTCTAGGATACACAGAATTCCGTCTAGGATGTGTATCCTAGACGGAATTCCGTCTAGAATACCCGTCTAGTTTGTTTCCGTCTAGTATGTAGTATTCTAGACGGAAATTCCGTCTAGAATACATTCTAGACGGAATATTCTAGACGGAATTAAAAACCGTCTAGAATACATCCTAGACGGATTATTCTAGACGGAATTTCCGTCTAGAATAATTTATCCTAGACGGAAAAAAATTCCGTCTAGAATAAGTATTCTAGACGGAAATTTCCGTCTAGAAATCTTATTCTAGACGGAATTTGATTTTTTAAATTTTTTTATTTTTTTAATTTTTAAAAAGTATTCTAGACGGAATTTAAGCATCCTAGACGTAATTTCCGTCTAGAATACTATGCTACAGTGTTTTTTTTTTTGCAAAATCTACTTTGAGTGTATGTACATAATCTTGAATAACAAAAAATTATATTCATATCCAACACAATCTAATTAATTCCAATATCAAATCCAATTATATTCAAATAATACATTCACCAAAATAGTAGAGAGATACATAAATTATTTACAAACGTTTACATAAATTATTTACAATGGCTATGACACTTCTAGGAAAGAATGTAATTCATCGATACATGATTATTAATCTATTTGAGTTCCTTTCTGTTCTTCCAGATTTGCTTGACACCATCCAACTCCTTCCAGAATGCCTCATAATAGCCAGGAATGCTGCAAAATGAAGAACGGTTATGCATAAGGCAAGGAGTTATCGAAGTAGAGTATCATATTTCTTAGTACAAGCTATTATCTAAATCATATTTTCATATGTGTATTTCTACTAGTGACTTCATTTTAGTAGCATCGCAGAAACCCAACCCAAGCATGTTTTGAATTATCATGATGCACATAAAAGATAATACAAACTGAAGCCATAATTTAGTGAAAGATTATATCATATTTCCAAAAGGATACATATTTTCATGGACAATTTTATAATATCCCCATGTAAAAGAACCAATCAATAAAAAGTAGAACACCATCAAAACACATGAATGCACACTAATGCATTGAGATCCAAAATACACAGCAACAAAGCTCACCTGAATTCTCCAATGACCAACACTTCTGTTAACAGATAAACACCTGCGAAACATGGGAAACAAAAATTAAAACCACATATAGAGGATATACAATAGACGGAAAAAAAAACCAAAATTCTTCTATTCGACTACCTCGGTTTGTATATACAAAATGAATACCCAACTAAAGATTTCAGGGAATGATTGCACACTCAAATGTCAAATCATACAACAAACACATTAGCTAAATCAGCATCTTTTAGTCATTATTAGCTAAGTTAGCTTGTTTCAGTTCTTGTTAGCAAATACATGAATTAATTATACCACTGGCATGAATGTGCTTCAATCTACCACTAGCATGAGCAAAATGCATATATAAATAAATTATACGAGAAAAACAATCAAGTCATTAGACATTCTTGTTAGCAAATACAGTTTATTTTTTTTCCAGTTAAAGGATACAAATATTTGTACCTCAATGGATTTGAGAAAAGGCAGAGGAGCGCTAGGGCTATGTATACTTTGTATCTTGAGAATCCATTTCAAATAAGTTTTCTCTGCATTGCAAACGAACAACTGCTATGAGACAAACAATAATATAAACTATTTTTCTTCATTACTATCCAATGGAAGAAGGGAAAATTAGGGTGTTTATAAATGGATTACACGATGACAATACAACCAATTTGAGGATCAACTTTAGCTGAAAATGTACAATAAACTAAGAAATTGCAAAATTATCTAATAGCTACATGTGCAGGGACAATAAGTGCTAACATACTTGCGTGATGACGGTTCCTCTATGTCTATTTAGCATTGCGTATGGAATGTACTCCCTATTAAAACATTAGCAATCGTTTTTCATAGAAGTCATGGCGCTCATAGCTTTGAATACAGTACATGGCAATTGCATGAGTACATCACAGATCTATGCCATTACCTTGTTCATTAGAGACAATGCGCTGAATTGTACTGCATACTTTCCAATATAGTTGCTGGATAAAAAGAAAAAAAGAAAATCAGTTTGTTAAATAATTATTTCTAGAGATTCTTTAAGAGAGAAATACATGCAACTCACAAACACAAGTGCACAGACAAAACCTCCATCATCATATACTTATCCATAGGAAAAATAAACATGATATGAAGTGAAATGATGTACAAGTATTCTGATGTACTGATGCTCAGAAAAACTCATTTGACATTTTGCAAAGGAAAAGCTAGAAGCATAAATGAAAAGCATGAATACCACTTGTTACAAATGCTTTGGAAACCACTGAATTATTCATACCTATAGTGGTTCCTTTTTCTCCAAGATTTGCAGCTCCTGGCATGGATTCAGATGAATCTCTAGAATCTGTTTTAATTTCTGCAAGCAATGGAGTTCCCGGTATTATAAAAAAATGTTAGTAACTAAAATTGTTGGATCGATAAATTACAGTAACCATAAAGATAACGTTTTGTGCTTTGTATGTACAATGATATCGTTTGTAATGCATATCAAATCTTGGACAGTGATAAAGCTACATGTGTTACAAATTTAAGTGAGAAAGACGAGTAACAGCAGAACTGGAAGGGTGTGGACAACAATAAAGCTGTCTACTAATTATAACATATATGATTTCATACATAACATAATTAGTCTTTTAAGGTTATTTGTCTCTTTCTCCCAAAGGGATTCAACATAACAGATTTTTTTTTTCTTTTTGAATCCTGGGTGTTGAATGCGTATACGATTAAAAGGATTTATACTCCTAGGCAGCATTTTCCACCAGTCTTGGTAAATGAAAGTGTTTACTATGGGGAGCTGCTTAGTTCCAAGCAAGTTTCACACAAATTACTCAGGATGTTAGACTAATAACACTGTCCTGGAACTTAAATAACAAAAGGGAAAGATGACTTGTTTTGTTTAATTCCTTTTCACTTTCCCAAGTATAAAACCTGCATCTCCTTCACAGTCAATGTTCTCAGTTAATTTAAGTATCAAATAATCAAAACTAACTTTTAGATATGATTGGAAAAGAATTGATTAATCCTATCATTGTAAAACACATGTAAATAATATGCTCTGTAACTAGTAACTTAATACATGACAAATTCCTTTAAAAAAGAACACGTTTAAATTGAAATGCTGATGAGGGAAAGCTGAGATGGGTACACAACATTACACTAAAGCATAATAGTTAATTTCTACGAATACAGAGACTAATTCAAATAACAACAATATGATAGTCATTTGAGATGATATGAAGATTTTATGAAATTAACACCATATCATGAAGTTCTGCACCCTAGTGAAAAATCAAAGAACACAAGTTCACATTTTACAGTGCTCAGGCTCATAGAAACTTTGTTAGAAACCTAAGCCAGCTGATATATCTCAACAGGTCTTTGCTACTATCAACGTCGACATAGACAAGTAGGAAACATAATGCACAATAGTTTCCATATAAGCCCATTCATGTACGAGAATTGAGCGCAATGGCGGGAAATGGGTGTGCGAAGTTCGGGAGCCGAACAAGAAGACCAGGATATGGCTGTGCACCTATCCGACCCCCGAGATGGCCGCCAGAGCCCACGACGTGGCGGCAATCGCTTTGAGAGGGAAGTCGGCCCCGCTCAACTTCGAAGACTCCGCGTGGATGCTGCCGCGTGTGGCGTCGAGCAGCGCGGAGGAGATACGGCGTGTTGCGTCGGAGGCGGCGGAGAGGTTCAGGCCAGTGGTGTCTTCGCCGAGGCAACCGATGCCTTCTCCGTCGACATTGTCGTCGCGGCCGCCGCCAGCGGTGTTCGTGGACGAGGAGGCGCTGTTTAATATGTCGGGGTTGCTGAAGGAGATGGCGGAGGGGTTGATGCTGACGCCGCCGGAGATGGGGGAGAGAGAGAGGGAGGAGTAGGAGGGGGTTCCTGAAATGAAAACGAATTTGGGGATGAATTATTCGTTTTAGGGGGGAAAGGAGGGCATTCTAGACGGAAATTTCCGTCTAGGATGAGTATCCTAGACGGAAATTTCCGTCTAGAATACCTGGTTATTTTTAAAAAAAATAAAAAATAAAGGAACCGTCTAGGATACTATTCTAGACGGACTTTTCCGTCTAGAATGTTTTATTCTAGACGGAATATTCTAGACGGAAAATTTCCGTCTAGTTTAATACATTCTAGACGGAAAAAATTCCGTCTAGAATATTCCGTCTAGAATACGTGATTTTCTACTAGTGCTAGCAGATAGATATAAAGATTATATAATATTCATCAAATTAAATTTTTATTTCTTTGCTTTAAATTTGTAATGAATTATTTTGGAAAAAGTTGTAAATGATAGTGATATGGGTGAGTAGGTGCCAACCTAGTTGGGATTTACTCATCTATTGTGATGCGATGAATTTTAAAATAAGTTTATACTTGTAAATGATTTACTGATTATTAATAAATAAATTATTTTTATCATCTTTTATTTTTATAATTTTTTGTACTTGTAATTTATGTCATTTCAAGTTATTAAAAAAAATTTATGTTATTTTCTGTAATTTTTATGTATATTTTATGATTTATTATTTTTTTAAATTTAAAATTTTTTTTAAAAAAACCGGGCCTGCCCGGAGCCCGGCCCGCTTAGGCCTGGGCCCGGGCTCGGGTTCGAGCTTTGGTTTTGCCCGGCCCGAATGGACACCCCTACGCTATAGTTCTACTATTACAAACAGATTTTCTAATTGAATTTTTTGACTCTTTTACCCACAAAGTAAGAGCAAATTATTTTTGACAAATAGATCTTTTTAAGAATAAGAGAGAATAATTTTTGACAAATAGACCTTTAAAGAATCATTCACTTAGGGAGTTTATCAGTAACAATAAAACTTTAGGGGATCTATCCATAATTTTTCAATCGTAAGGGAGTGTATTTACAAATACTTTTTTTTTGATAAATAGCAACTAACCCTTTAAAATGAGTCAACTTTGAGGATTATCAGAAAAACCTTTTTCTACTAATGTTAGTGGAAAACGAGCGAAATTGAGCCGTGCAATACCGCATCAGTAATGTGAAAATAAGCTAAAGAGGAATAAGGAAAAGCTTCACAATTGCGTTATAGTACTTAACCCAAGTTAATAATTTAGCAAATTAAAGATACAATATATTAGAGAACTCTGCAAAGTATTAATAGGATTCTAAGAAATGAATGATAACAACTTAGAATTTATACTTACAAAAATTCCTTGAAAAGTACATGGATTCTTAACACTAATTTTATTTTATTAACTTAATTCATTTGATTATATATGACAATGTGTAAATAAATTATCGTGTGCATTTATTGGATCTAAACATATGTCATTGGGATATATCTAAATAAGAGAAAACAATCATTAGGAGATATCTAAATAAGAGAAAAAAAATTTAATAACTAAACGATTGAAACTTCACCTACCTTGATCGTGATGAGGTCTCATTAGTATTCCCTTTCCAAAAATGTGATCCCATATATCATAAACTTGAAATGTTCTGTCATTGTAGCCTAGACAATATCACATAATAATTTAGAAATAATAAGCATCAAAGCAAATAAAAATAACAAACATCAAAGTAAACTCACACCTATTGTATCAAATTTGCTTCCTTCCTCTTTAGAACTCCTCGCCTATACCATGTGGACATAATTTAGAAAAAAAACGAAGCTAAAATTTGGCCATAGAACTGATGGTAAATTATAAGGAAAATTCACAAATATATTCAATTTGGAAAGTAATACATGGAAAGATAAAAAAACAAACCATCTCAATGCTATCCAACATTTCAAGTAAATAAATAATCCCTAAAAATTAACTTACCAAAACATTAACCCCTCCAACATTATCAATAACCTACTTCACAAAATCCTACAACGCCCCCACAATCTACTATATGAAGCTGATGTCAATCCACATTACTCATCCCCTCTCCTATAATCTCCTCCACCGCTCCTCAACATCGATTCGAGTTTGTGTTAAATTTCCCTTGTTTCTTTTACTTTTGATCCATAAATTTGGTCCCCATTTTTTAATTAAGGAGGGTTTGGGATGATGTGGAGAGCTAATGACATGAGAATTCAAAATAGATTTTTTGACTAAAAATACTAGGAGAAGAAGAGAGGTTTCCAGGTAACTATAGATTTATGCTTGTGATTGGAATTTTTTAATTATGTTTGTTTTGGATGTGCACTGTAGATATAAACAATGTCTATCTACAGTTGATTGCAAATATCAGGGGAGAAGAGAGGTTTCTAGAGAACTATAGGTTTATTCTTCTGGTTGGAAATTTTTTAAATTATGTTTGATTTGAAGATGCACGTTCAGGTCACTGTGTAAAATACATGATCAAAAAGATAGAGGTGAGAAAGGAGCAGTGCGGAGGTGAGGGATTGAGTTGGCTCTCCATTTTTTTTCTGGTTTCCTCCTTTCCACAACCAAATAAAAATCGATTGTAGAGAGAGCTAGCATTGGAGGGGAAAAAATTAGCACCAAGAGTTGGACCTTGGATGTTGAGGCT